CATGCCCCATCCGTTCCTGTCTGGTTTGGGAGGACGAGGTGTGAGGTTTGGCTGGTTCATGTTGGGGATTTTCTCTAGTTAAGGCATCAATCCAGTGCATGTTTGCACAGATGCCTGATCCAAAATCCCAGCAAGTCCTGGTGCCTTAACTGGATTTCACACACATGTAAATGCTCGGAGGGTTGTTTTAATGTGCAGGCTTCTCTGGGAAATGCTGTTTTGATGAGAGGATTTATCCATGTGCTTGTCCCAATGTGCACTAACCTCAACCCTGGAGAAAAACAAACTTGCAAAGTTCTTAATCCTCAGCATATAACTTCAAATTCACTTTAAAAGCAGCTCACTGGGGGCAAGAGCTGCCTTTGGGTTCCTCGCTGGTGACTTCCTATCTCCCTGCCTCAGTTTCCCCAGTGCAATGTGCTGTGCTGGCCAGGGACCATATACACAGTGGAAGCATATAGAATCTGGGCTAAGAAAGCTTGTCTAAACAAATTGAGCAGATAATGCTGCTTTTAAAGAGGAAGCTGAATGTCTCACATAGCATCCAATCCTTCTAGTGACTTGTGGCTTTCAGACCACCGCCAGGCTTTGCTTCTAAAGCCTTATTCTTCCTGCTTTTAGAACAGGCAAAGTTTGCAACAATGGGTTGTAAAAGTCCGATTAAACATCCAGTTGTGTTGTTTTCCTGGCTTGTGCCCTGGTTTTCAGTGCATTCGTATCGATTGCAGCTCCAAGAGAGAAAAAAGAAGGCAAGTTAGAAAATCTAATTTGAACCATTTGTGTGTTAAATCACGTTGTTATCTGCAGGCTCCAGGCAGGAGAAGGTCTGGTGCGAGATAGCACATAGCTTGACAGACCTGGGCTGTGCTCAGGACGGCAGTTTGGTGTGTGTGGTAATGCCCGAGTCTCCCTGATCCCGAGGGAATTGCGTGAAATACATGGCACAAGAGAGCTCACCCTGTCTTGGGAGTGAAGTGCAAGGCAGAGTACTGGTGGAGCAAGGACCATGCAGTCCCTTGTGTGCGAAGCTACAGGTCTTTGTGGTGGCAATCAAAATTGGGTAGAAATCTGAGAAAAGCAGGGAATGGGAATGGGAATGGGAATGGAGACCGAGACTGAGGGACTGAGACATCCTCATTTTGGCTTATTTTCTATTAGCATCCTTTTCCCCTATCCCGTCCTCCTTCTCCCTCTCTTACTTTTCCCTATCCTGTCCCTCTTCTCCCTGCACGTGACCTCTGACTTTGCAACCCAAAGGCTCACATTTAGCCTGGGCTCTGAGCCATAGTTGTGCTTAGAAATGCTCCAGTGTCTGGATGAGCTCCTTTATGGAGCAAGCAGCCGGTTGGGATGCTGGATGCTGAGCGCAGCCTGGCTGGAGTGAGGGTCTCTGGTACCACCCAGCACATTCTAGGGCTCGGGGCCAGCTGGGACCCCCATTGTGCTCCAGGGAAACCCCCACATTGACATAAGGAGGAAGAAAACCTTCTTCCTGGGAAGAATTCCACAGCATCAGCACGGCAATGGAAGGAGTGGAGGAGAGGAGGAAATACTCAGGTGCCATCACCCCTGTGAGGCACTGCATGGCTGGGAGAGGATGTAGAACCCATGAGACGAGGGCTTCTGAGACAGTGTGGATGTGGCAAGTGGTTCCAAGGCACCCAAGTGCTGAGCAGCCCCTGAGTCACGCAGTGTGAACAGCCCTGCTTTCTTCCCAGTTCCATTCCCAAACAATCCCTGCTTGTTACAGGGAATAACGCCCGCCAGGCAGGGGGTTCCCATCCCGATGGAGGGCGAAGATGGAGCCGTCTCGTTTCCTTTCTCTCCTCTGACATGAAAGCACAACCAGTCTGCGTGACCAGACTGGTTTGTCAGCTGCTCTGGTATTCGCAGGGGAAGGTTTGGCCAAGCCCAGAGTTCTCCCTAATTTCCCCAAGTGCTTTGCCTTCAGTGTTGCAGCCCATCACTATGCAGGGTGCTGGGGCAGAGCTGCCAGGAGCTTGTTTCGAATGCAGGAATGAATTGTAATTGCTGATGGGATATTGCTGTATTTAACACACGAGCAAGCAGCGATCTGCCAAACCCACAAGCTGATAACACCAACCCTGGTGTACTTCATGGGTTTTCTTTCCTTTCAAGTGATGTGATATTTATTGTTCCTGTCCCAGAGCATCCCTCCTGTCCAGGCAGAGGGGGAGGCAGGGAGCTAGCAGGTTCAGCATCCTGAAGATGCGGGTTAGTGAAACCAGGAGGGGTTTTAGCTCTGCTGCTCAGCTCCAGAAGCGGGGAAACAAAAGGAGCTTAACAGTGGCGAGGAGATAAATTGCTGCTAAAGTAGTTTTTCAGGAAGGGTAGGTGGGAGAGGAGATCTCTTCAGGACCGGATCTGGCACAGCAGGGGAGCAGCCAGATGGGGCTTGGGGTTTAATCACTCTCTGTCATTAACATGCAGAATTAGCCGAGGTTTCGCTGCCTTTTACAAACTCTGTGCTTCCTAATCTCCCTTCTTATGTGTCTCCATATATAATATTTATACAGGTACTTACACACACACTTAAACAAAAGACCCAAGGACTCTGCCAAAGGGCTTGCAACTGCAGGCAGGAGTGTGGCTTGGGAGAGAAGTAACACGAGTGTGTTTAAATGCCTTGACATCTTCCAAAGGCAGCTTGCAGGCAGGCAGTGACCCGATGGGCAGGAGGAGATGCTGCTCCTTCTGCAGCCGTGCCAAAACGTGCTGGGGTCGGCTCTCCTTGTGTCTGTGCTTGGGGGGAAACTGAGGCAGCAAAGCAGGAGCTGCAGCTTCCCCTGTGTCTGTCTTGGTGGTGAAGTGGTGCAGGATGCAGCCTGGGGCTGCAGGGCACCAGGGCTGAGGATCCCTTTGGGCTGCTGTTGTCTTATGATTAAACCCCAGATCTTGGGCTGGTGTAACCACGGCGTGGAATTCCAGCCCGCCCTCCGGCAGGATGGGATCCCTTCCCTCCGCTTCTGAGGGATGGAGGGGAGAGAAGGGGTTGTACGCAGGCAGAGCATAGAGGACCACAGTCAGCGAGAGCCCAACGTGAGGCTTCTCCACCACTTAACTGATGGAAAGGTGCCAGGAGCTGAGTGTCTGGAGGGAGGGCATGCAGGACCGGAGCCTGCTGTCTCTGCACTCTTGTTATCCCGGTTTCCAGGGAGGGAGGTCTAATTGTATTTACTGTTGGCTGCATTCCATTGGGATGCCTGTGGTCAAGGGCAAGGTGTTTCCTTGGCTTTAGCTCTCAGCGGAGATGATTTCCAGGGTTGTATCCAGCTCCACATCAGAGCCCTGAGGTGGGAAGGGTCCCTCTGTCTCCCCCAAACTCTCATCCCACCAACCCTGCTGCAGCCCCAAAGGCTTTTCTGCCCTGGTGCTGGCTCCTGGGCAGCTGGATCTTTCCTCTTCTCCCTCCCTCATGCACAGGGGGAGCTGGGCATATTTCATGTTAATGTTCAGCTCTTGGTTTCCTGCTGTTTTTCTTTCCCCATTGTATGGAAAAGAGCATTTCCCTGTCTGGGGCAGCAGGGAGGTGTTTTCCCAGCATGGTCAGGCTTTGCATTGCAGCCTCTGGAGAGGTTTAACAGCCTGGTGCCAACTTCTGCCCAGCCCTAACAGAGCCTGGCTGGTCTCAGGGGGATGTGCAGGGCATGGGCAGTACTGGAGGGGATCTTTAGCACTAGTTTGGGCACAGAACACTGTGCTATGGGTCTCTTGGGTTCCCCTGTTGCCCTGCAAAGCCTCTGGTCCACAGGGGCCAGAAGCTGCAGAGAAATTGCTGCTTTGGTTGGGCTTGCAAAGCTCAAGGAGGTCTGGACAGATATAATAAAACCAGTGGCCTGTGTACATTATGGTGCTGCTCAGGAGCAGCTGCAGTGACAGCAGTTGCTCTTTGCCATGCACCCTGACTAGCCCAGATGGGGTTTCAAGCCTTCATGAGATCATGGTGGGGGAAAAAACCATTTTCATGCTTGAAGAATGGGCTTGTGTCAGGTTACAGGGGAGGAAACAGCTTCAAATTGTTACGGTTTAGATGATGAGTGAAAGCAAAACTGTGGTAGAAAAGGTTTAGACCAGGGCTCTCTGTCAGGGTGCTTTGGAGCTCACATTTATCTGCAGTGATGTAACCGCTGGGATTATCACCCCACATCCATATATGTAGCTGGTGCTTTTCTAATTCTGGAGGAGAACATTATGAAAACACAACTGCAGAGAAAGAGGCCAGATCCCTCCTCCTTTTCCCCAGACTACCCTTCAAACTCCCTGCCACCCCTCCCTGCGAGGCTCCTCCATCCCTGTATCCTACCCTGCATGCACATCCCAAGTTGCTGCCATATTTTGCCTCCTGGTACCCATGTAAAGGGGGGAGTTATCCCCCTGTGGCTGTGCAGGTGACATGTCCAGGCTCTATGGTCCATCCTCATGCAGAGGTGCTGTAGCTTCACCCAGCAAACAAGCTCATGCCCTGTTTAACCTCAGTGGGAGGGGGTGCGCAGTGTCTGGGTGACTCTGGCCACACTGATGCTTTCACTGCTGCAGCCTGATGCTGCTACAAGATGCTGGTACCTCCAGCCGAGTTGGAGAATGTGTTTGATGGGAAGCACAGCCAGGTTTTTAGGCAGGGGGCTGGGTGAAGAGTGTGTCCCAGCAGGAAGCTGTGCTGGTCCTTGCTAATGGAGGGGGATGCTCCAAGTAGAAGGGGTGTAAAGGAGGAGATCAGACTCAGTGGCTGCAGGAGCACATGGAAGGTGCCTGCCCTGCCTGCGGGGAGCTGGCGGGCGCAGGGGATGAGTGTGTGGGGATGACGTGATGATGACTGTCAGCAGCAAGTGAAGGGTTTGGGCAGGAGGAGGAGAGCGACAGGCCCTGACGCACCCCAGGGCTGCCATATCCAGCAACCATTCCCAATCCCTGCCAGGCAAAGTGCTGCCTGTGCCCAGGGAGGGATGGGGGGCACAGTAGCATTGAATCACCCTCCGGAGATGGACAGTCAGGACCAGCATCGCGTGCAGGATAACACCATCCCCCTTCTTTTCCCTGCCCTGAGAAGAGCAGGGAGGGAAGAGACTTTAAAAGCCAAAGTTTTTCCGGTTCTGCTGTCCAGGGGCAGCCAAAACAGCCCACGTCTCCTCTGGGATGTGGGAAATGAAGCAGCCACTTTCCCTTTTTATTGCTCATTACTTGAACTCGAGTTCTGCACTCGCAGGATGCTGGGCAGCTTGTTTGTCTCCTGCAGACAGCGGGTGTGGAGCATTCCTGTGACCAGGAATATTCACTTCTCCGGGAGCTGGGGCATGGACTGAGCACAGGGAAGCCGTTTATTTTCCTTAACATGCAATTTCTGCGTTGGAGCCAGTTCAGAGCAATGATCTCTGTCCATGTCAAGGGCTGATAAGAAGAAGAATGGTTTGGCAGAGCAGATTCCCCCCAGAGTGTCTCCGCTTTGCAGTAGCACATCCTGCACGGGGACGGGGGGAGGCTGCAGCCTGACCCTGTCTCACCCCACTTGACGTGACCACAGCACTCGAGCCTTTAATTTAATCATTGTGTTGAGCTGAGGTGATTAAAGCTGCGGGGTTGGTGGCTCTGCCTGCGGATGACATGGCAGCAGGGCTTTTAGATCTGTTGATACTGATGTTTCCTCCTCTGCCTCCTTCACGCCATGGCCAAACACCAAGAGCCATCAAAAGCACTGGGGAGGAGACACACATAACCCTGTGTGAGCGCAGGTTTAGGGTGCAGAGGTGTCAGGAATAAAATAACCAGGCATTTCTGCTCAGCTTTGCAGCATGTTTCCCATCCCATCTCCTGTTTTCCCTTAATCCTAAGCCAACGCCTGCCCTTGCTCTGAGCGGTGCCTTTCCCACATCTCTTCCAGCTATTCCTGGAGAAATACGGCTACTTTGGGAAGCAGGGGCCTGGCACACACAGCCCTGACGAGTTCACGGATGCACTGAGGTATGAGCCTTTGTTTAACCTGCAGCACTAACACAGCAGCTCTGGCTGCATGGATGCTGCCGGCATCTCACATGGTCTGATGATAAAGCACAACCAGTCCCTTCTGGAAGAGCTGGTCCGTGCCCAGCTGGATGCTGGCTCTTGGCAGCCCTGTGCCTCACTGTGCTGCTTTGTTTCCCTTTTATGGCCTGGTGCTCCCCATACAATACTATCTACAGCAAGGCCAAGGTTGGGGACTACTGGGAGATGTCAGGGGTGAGCTGACAGCCCCTGCTTGGGCTTCTCCTATGAGAACACTTTGACTCTGTGAGCATCCCTGGCCTGACCCTGCTCAAAGTTAAGTGCAAAGTCAAACAACTGGGGCTAAAAGCTGTAAAAGGCATTTTTTAGGCTCTTCCATCTACTTCTGCCCTGCTAGGAGATGTTTCACTGGTTGCAGAGCAAAATCCTTCTTGTTGTATCACCTGGATGCACTCCTGTTGGAGGAGCATGAATCTCATCAGGTCGAACACAGACATAACCAGCCCAACTGGGGGATTTTGGATGTGTGTGGTGATGCCTCCCTTCCTTTTCCAGGGACTTCCAGCGGGTGACCCACCTCCCGCTCAGCGGGGTCCTGGATGCCCCCACACTCCATCAGATGTCTTTGCCACGGTGTGGCACCGGTGATGGGGAGAGCCACACTGCAGGGACACGGCGGGCAGCCACCACCCGGCGCCACAGGCGCAGCACACAGCATGGTGAGCACTGGCTGTGGGGCACACAGAGAGGTTATCTGATGAGCTCTGAGACTCTGAATGTGTGTTGCTTATCCAGCAGTAACCACAAAACCTGTTGGTGCTGGCGCTGCCTGGCCAAAGGGAGGTGTCCCAGCCACATTAAGAGGTTTAACTCTGCTCTGAGCAACTTCTCTTCCTGCTGTGTGTCTAGGTTTTGGCGTCTTGTCTCCCACAGGCTGCCTCCTGGGCTTGTGGATGAGTAACTGGATTCCTAGAGAGCAAGAGGGCTGGGGCCAGCTGTGCTTAGGACATGGGAAAAATGAAGGCGAGATTAAGAAAGGGCTCTGTGCCTTGTCAGGCTGTGTCTGCATCTGGCAGGGCTGGCGGTGGATGGCCCCAGGAGACATCCCCATCATCCTCCTCCTGCCTCTGGCTTTCCTTCCAAACCCCTGATACACAGCATCACCCCTGCAAGCTCCATCCTGGGCAGAGGGTCTGCTGTGCCCAGGACAGGGCGATGAGGCAGAGACAGGGCATCTTTAAAAGCTCTGGTGGTCTGCTGGTGGCAGATCCCCTGTGGCAGCAAGCTGGGGTGCAGTGCACTGCAGGTGGCAGTGCCACAGGCAGCAGGATGGCAGCGATGCCATGGCAGTGCCACGGGCAGCGGGATGGGAGCGATGCCATGGCAGTGCCACGGGCAGCGGGATGGGAGCGATGCCATGGCAGTGCCACGGGCAGCGGGAGGGGGGGCGTGCCCTGGCAGG